TTCTTCATAAATGCTCAGCTTGCACTAAACCTGAGCAGGAACATTTCTGGAGAACAGCCCATCAGGTTACAGTGTGCCATCTCATCTCCCCTCTGCTCTGGTTGCTTCCATTAACTTTTGCACAAATGATTCATTTTGCCCAGTCTTTTGTAAACAGCATTTGAAGCCAGCTGGAATTCGTTGTGCACCTAAATTACACTTGCTCAGCAAGCTCTTCAACAGAAGGGACTCATTTCAATCTTTGCTGTCCCCCCATCACAGGCAATGCACATCCTTCTCTTTACTGCAGCAGCTCTTTCCTTTCACAGAACTGAAGCAGCATGGTTAACATCCAAACCTCACCGCTATTCAAACGTGAAAGTTACACCTTGAAGGAGGAAGGGGAAGAAACTCACTGGATCTCTTAATTGTAGCCCTGGGCCAAATGTCACTCTTGAAGAGCACAAGGCAGGTGGGGGCAGGTGAGGAGTCAATACCTCAAGCTGAAGTGCAAAGCACGAGGACGCTCAGACACACGCAAGTATCTTCAGCAGAGAGGCTGACCTTGTCACACCCCAGACTGTTTCAGCTGTCCCCCAGCTGATGAGGAAGCTATTAATGGACACATCAGAAAAGCACAAACACTCACCAGTCAACCACAGCAAAGGCCAGATGGGGATGGTTAAGAGACCAAATCTGAAATGCAGTAAGCCAAGTTTTTAAAGTGGGACAGGTGTTGGCATGAAATCACAGGTTCCTCAGGCAAAGAGGCAGTCTTCACAAACTCATCTAAGGCTGCAGCATGTCAACCCTTCGTTTTGGTAGCAGGACCCATTCCCACCCACCTCCTCTTTCCTTTCACCCCTCCTGTGCAACCGAAAAGTGAACCCCACGGGTAGTTAGTTGCTGGACTACTGGAATGACCAACTGCAGCCAAAGGGAAAGCCAGTGGTTCTGCCCATAAAATGTGGCTGATGGCTATAAGTGAAACACCACCATTCCCAGGGAATCTGCCTTTGTAAAGCAGGCAGAATCAAGCATGGGACATGACAGACAAGAGGCAAACTTCCCTATGCGTTAACACAGGCAATGGGAACTCAGGCTAAGAGGACAGACTGCAGATGATATCACATGTGCACCTACACAGAAGCATGGAGAGGACTTGAGCCATTTTATCTTTTCCAATCTAATAAAGAACTGGAGATAAATTCATCCAACTGGCACAGCATAGTCTTCAAAAGCCAAAAACTTTACAGCTGGTTTGCTAAGAGATGGTTGAAGTGTTGGAGTGGGAAGGAGGGAAGAGAAAAAACACAGCTAACACTCCTTCCTACAGCAAGGGGAAAGTTATTTCCTTCACAGATTTACTTTATAAACAGGTTTACTTTTAAAACAGAGTTAAAGCCGGGATAAAAAAGTATGCTCAACATGCATTATTGTCATACCACACTGCTTGCCATACAAGCCAACACTGCTTTTCCTGATTGGAATTAAACTCCTTTACATCCAAAGCTCAGCTCAGCGTGCTGCTGGAGCAGGCAGGGAAGGCTCTTAGAAATGCTTTGCACCTCACTGTGCCCCGCTATGGCAAAGCTGAACACAACAGCTTCACCAGCACTACACACAGCACAAAATGCCTATCTAGGAGATCCAACATCAGGTTGCATGCACATTGCCAGGTGAATTACAGCACCTGGAGAACACAGCAATACTGAGTGGAGGACACCTGTAAAAACAGATCTGGACCACTCCAAAGGGAACCTAAAGCCACAGCAGATGTTCTTTTCATCTCCACACACATCACTGACTGCTGCAAGATGTCACTCTGGATAGATAAGAAAAGCTAACACTAATTGCTCAGGATCTCATTGCATAGGAGAAGACAACAGTGGCTCAGGCTGGCAGGTCCTCAGGCATGAGAGCACTAAGATACACCTTCCTGGGGGAGACACGGGATAAGGAAGCACACTGCTGAGCTGCAACATGCATAGGTCCAGTGCCCCACCTTCCAGAGGCTGGTTACTGAAAATGCACAAAGATCTTGCAACAGTTCAAAAAAAAAAAAATATGCACAGCCTCACAGGACTGACTACACCAGTTCTGCTGCATCTTCACACAAGTCCAAGGCACAGTGCTGGCCTTGCACCCCAGCACTTGCTCATCACTGTGAAGCCACAAGCTGCATTAGCGCAGGGTGGCACAGTGGCACCAAAGTGGAGTCAGTCCTTTTGCAACCAGAGGTGAAAGTTTATAAAGCCATAAAACATGGAAACAAAGAGCGAAGAGATCAGTGAGAAGAGCCACATTTCTATCCCACTGCTCATTTATTTCAGTATCTAACCAGGCCCCCAAGGCTCTTGTTAAAGGAGTCTTTTCATACTAGTTTTGACATGGGAAGGGGCATGGGCAAGACCTGGCTGCTTAATTCAAAGGCATTGTCCTGAACACTGGAATGCCTGGCAGCACTTTTACTCAGTGGTTGAAGTAGTTAGCCCCTTCCTGGAAATGCAGAATTACTGCAGACTAAATCTGGACAGCACTGCTTGAACCAATGCCAAGGTGCCTCATTTGTGTGACTAACTAATACCAAATGAATAATTTCTTTAAAAAGAACTCCAACTTGGACTTTCAGGGACTTGCAAAAATAATAATTACATTTGTCTTATACCCAACAAACATTTTGATCTATAGCACCCATTCAAAGGAAGAAGCTATGAGTACAACTGCTGGCAATTATTTTGATTTTTTTTTTTTTTAACTTTTAAGCACAGGTATTTTGCTGGTTAAATTGAGATCAACACTTATTTCCTTCTCTCAATGAGCTTTTTTATGCTTGCCTGCTTTGATGCTGATGTCCAGCAAGAGGCTTTCAGAACATGATGCAAGCGCTTTTTTTAGCATGTGCACTCTTCTAATAAAACTAATAAAACACCATGCATGACAGAGCAAGAAATTAACTTTGTGAGACCCAGGAGGATACAGGTTTAATTTCTCTTGATTCAGCAAAACAACAATAATCCTGTGTAATAATATGCCACAGTCTTGACAAAGAGAAAGTTCAGCATTCATCTTAAGTCTGCCCCTGTAATACCAGATCACTTTGTTATCACATGTTGACTATCAAACATCCAAAGACAAATCACCCTGAATTCATCAGGGAAGAACAAACCAGAATAAAGTGATTTCCCTTCTAGGAGTCTATTCTCTTATGCTGTAGCTGGAAGATGATTTAACCAGCATTTTCTTCACGCTACACAATCGATGCAGAGCAGGCACAACTGAACTCAACGGCTTCTTCACTCAAGCTCTGTGGTGCATCGTGGTTAGGTCTCCAAGGGGAGGCAGATCTCATTTCAGCCAGATCCACTTGTCACCAACATCAGCATTGTAGCCTTGCCTAAAATTGCGACCAGGAAGCTAGAGAAAGCAGAAAGTTCAGTCAGAAACATTTCTCTTTTCACTCTTTATGGAAATTTTTAGATTCTTTACGAAGTGCCTCGTGGTATCTGCAGAAGTGCAACGTGAAATTTTTTTTTTATAACAATGATTAACACTGGTAGAAAAATCAGTCCCTCTGAAAAATTTGAGCTGTGCAGCTGGAAGGGGGGCCACAAAAACCACTATGCCGTAATATACATAAAAACTAGGCCAATATGTCAACAGCACAACAGCATATTCCACCTGGATTCATCCAATTCTTCCCTACACACTCACATGCCCAGTTTTAGTAAGAGATGACCCCTCTAATCATAGCATGTAGTAGAATTGAATCAGTCAGTAGAATCTCATGCCAAAATAGGCACACATTATTAAACACATGAAGTATTTCATGCATGAAACACTGAGTTAATTACTACGTTAAATTAAACCATTCAAATGAAATTGCATATTTAGCCTTCAAGAGCTGAACTTAACTTTATTAAAGCAAAAGCAGTATCTGCCTGTCTTCATAAGCAAAGTCAAAAACCACTACTTGCTGGAAAAACTGAAGTTTCTCGAACCCCATACCCAAATTTCACCAGTACCCTGGGATCTAAGCAACAGCCTTCACATGCTGCCTCTGAACCTCACTGACCTTTCAGGCTGCAACTCTTCTGCACAGACCCTTAATGCTGCTGGGAGTAGCCTCCGCCTAGGCAGCTTGGACATGCAGGTTAGCCTGACTGACCTTTCTGTACCCGTGGTTCCCAGAGCAGGGCTCAGGGAACCACGGTGCTGCCGCACGAAGTCACTGCTCTGTACCGTTTGTTACACATCGCTGTACGTGAGATGGCAGAGGGCTGGGGACTGCAGCGGGAAGCCTTTCCTTCTGACAGCACCTCAAGAGCTTAGGCTGGTTGTACAGGTCACAAGAGCATCATGCAAGGAGCGGTTCAAGCCTAGCGAACCAAGAAACACGTTGCAGAGGGAAAGGCTGGATGGACTGGAGCGCTGGGAGGGGGACATCAGATGTACTAGGAAAGATGGAGGGTCTGCACCCTCACCAGGGAGGGAAAGCAAATTATCACAGAGATGAGAGCAAACAGGGGTGAACAGCAGTAGCCTAAACAGAGTTGGCATTTGGGGGTTCAAGGAGTTGTGTCTAGACCTAGAGATGAGTACCTGTTAGCTCCAAGTCTGTGAAAGGACATGAGACACTGAAGCACACAACCCTCTTTATGGTAGTCCATCTAGCCAACCAAACAGATGTCCCACAACCAAAGCTTTCCACAAGGGTTCAGGAGGAAGAGGACAAGCACAGCTGTGCAGATCGTGCATCAGGATGGAAAGCCAAACCTGGCCCTCTCAGCCTGCTGCCATGTGCAGCCACATTGCAAAAGCACTCAGGCAGCATTACAGACACAAACATTCAGCGGCCAAGCCATTCTGCCTTCAGCTTTAAAGATTTGGGAAAAGAGGCTGTTTAAGTAGCAGCCATTTTAAGGGATTACAGATGCAGCACACAGGACTACAAGAGAAAGCCTGCCAGTATGGTTAAAATAGCAAACTCCCCTTACACAGCGTATGTGTTCTCTCTGCAGGCAAGGAAAGCGCTCCTCCAGGCCAAGCAGGCTGCATCAGGTCAGCAAAAGCACGCTTATGTGACAGAAGACTCACCACAAGTGTGCCAACAATGCTGTCATCAAAATCATCTCCTACCAACTTGCTTTGCAAAAGCGACACAAATTTTTAAGTGCAGTTTCAGCCTGAATAAACATAAACCAGGCTCTGTACCCACTATATAACTAAGCCATGGGAACAAAACCTGCCAGCAACAGGATCAGTGCATAAAGTAGCTACTTTGGCAATTACTCTGAACTGAGTGATCCTACAGAGGAAACAGTTGTAGATACATTAACACCCGAGTCTCAAAGGTTGAAAAGTAGTCCCCCTCAGAAAGTACTGACCGTGACCTGCAGTACCAGAGACAGACAGGTCCTAGCTCCAAAAGCAGAGTCTATCTCCAGAACGTCTCTTCCTATCTCCAGGAATGGAAGAGACAGAACACAGCATTCATCTTTGAGATACAATACTGGAATCAAGAAGCAAACCACCATGAAAAAGCAAGTGAGGTTTGTGAGAAAAAGTCTGAAATAAGCAAAGATGCTATAATAAAACCCTTCCTTTAAAAATAAGCTATCCACTGGCAGCCTTTACAAATAGTTACACACAGATCATCTGCTCATCTCCACAAAAACACTGGTTTCACACAGGACCCCTGACTTGTCCTGATGATTTTTCTTTTCAAAAAAACTGTAAGAGTATCTTGTTTGAGAGAGCTGCCCCTGCAGAGAGAAGCAAGACCCAGTCTTGATGAAATCTATACTCAGGCCACAAAACCAGCTATTTAATCCAGGATGAACCTGTTGTTTTGAGGGGGGGTGGTCGTGTTATTTTTCTTTTTTTTTTATTTTATTTGAAGGACAGAAAATAAGACACTTCTTTCCCTAAAACATCAAGCTAACAGAAGACTTCTACGTCATTCATGAGACATTCCCCACCCTGCCTTGTCACAAGCTATTACAAGCCATTCTTGATCAGTTTTTCTAAGTTTTTTTCATTTAAAGTTGTCTTTAATGTCTTGTCTAAATATCAGAAGAAACCATGCAGTCCTGTTAAGAGTTACTCCTGCTGAGCAAAGAGGAGATGCGAGATGAAAAATAAATGATTACTATCTCTGCCCTGCAAATTTACAGTGGTGAGCTAGGGAGGACATCAGACCTGCTGTGACCAGCCTGTATCTATTAATTCTAGCACAAAACCAGCTCTCCCTGGTCCTCTCCAGGCAGCACGTAATTGGCCCTTTGATACTTCAAGAGATTCCCAGATAACTAGATTATTAAAGCAACAGGAGCTCTCTGGGAGAATATGGGAGTTTACAGTTTCGTTTCTGGGTAAATCTGCCCTCTTTAAAAGATACAATATCAATCCCAACAGAATTCAAATTCATTGTCCAAAACAATTTGCCCATGTGCCTTTGGTTAAAGGCATGCAATACATCAAAGTGAATTTTAGAGTAAGTATTCATCCATACTCCATCATTCACAGTGGGCCTTGGCAAAAGCAGCTGAGTTTTGGGATATGTTACAGCCAAGCTTTCAAAATAGCCCAAAAAATGGGAAAAGGAAGGCACAGTAAACAAATCCCGTATTACCTAGCAAGCAGAATGATGTGAGTTTGTGTTCTGCACACTGTCTGCCCCAGGTACAAGTAACACAGATGACTTCCCGAGAAAGGGCTCTTCAAAGCTCACATTTTACAGCCATGTCCATAGTAAAAAGGCTGCACAACTAGGAACAATGTAGTCTGTCCCACAGAAGCAGCTGGTGATCTTTTAGCACTTATTAAGCATTTGGAAAAATACTGGAACAGGAGTCATTCCTGTTCTTGTGGTCTTCTGCCTCCCCGCTAGCTCCTCACAGGCCCACCTCCTGCCAGAACAAGCGTTTGCTCAATGTCACAAGGAGCCTGGATTAGACAGCCAAATGAAAAGTGTTGCAGTATTGTTGCACACTGTGGCTGAATGGACTGAATAGCATGATGCCAACAAGAAGAGGTCCTACATTACCCATCCTATCACCTCTCTGCTGCACAGTCCAAGCCAGCTCTGCAGCTTTGCTGGATCATTTCACAAGCTCAATCAAAGCCCTTGCCCAGCGAGAAGCTATTCACTCCTTCTGGCTGGGTTAGTTTTCAGTGACTCTGCAAGCTCAGTCAGCCAAACACATACCAGACCACTGCAAAGAAGAGTGGTAGGAGCACCAGAGAGGATCTGGGGATGCCAGGCAGGTGGTAGTATGTGCTTTTTTTGGTGACAACAAATGGTTAAGTTGGTGCTCCAAACTGCACCCAGCTGAAGTTCCCAGCCTGTTCTGCCCACAGCTGCTTAGCCAGCACAAGGGCAGGGATGGGAACAAGCAACCAGCCCTGAGGTTGCTGGTATTGCAGCCAGAAGAGGTAAACTGTCCAGCCTAGAAAAGAGATGATGGAAGGGAGATAGGACAAAGCTCTGCATAACTTGCCAGTTGCTGGGAGAACACAGAGAAGGACTGAATATTCACTGTCTCTTCCAGTACAAGATACAGGTGCCATCAAACAAAGCCAATGGCTTGAAGGACTCCTTGCTGAAGGATACTGCTGCCACAAAATTTAGAGGGTCTCGATGGGAAACCAGGCAAGTACTTGGAAGCGACTTGCATTTCCCACGAGACTTGTGAATTATGAGTAAGTTTCCCAGTCAGAACTCTAATGAAAATCAGCAAGGCTACATCATTTGCAAGTGCCTGGCACATTCACAGGACCACTCCAAGCTTGTTACCTTCAAATGGCACTTGAGCAAGACCAAAGAAAAGGTGTCACTTAATGGCCACATTATAAATAACAGTAGTGCATCCTATTATGCATGATTAATTAACACCACCACATTTCCACAGGCAAGTAAAAGGAGTAGCATACATGGTCAAATAAATCCCTTCAAACCCTCTTAGGTCCTTCACTGACATCAGCCCAAAGAGACCTATGGAGCCACCAACAGGTTTGTCCAGCACGAAGAGGCAGAGAAACCAGTCAACCATCACACCAAAGCTGAACCATCTTTCCCACAAAAAGTAAGAAAAGCCATGTTATCACAGCAGCCATCTAGACACAGACTTTGCAACACAAGAATTAATTCTCTGCCCTCAAGAGCTTACAACTGAAGCAGCACTGAACAAGCAAATGGGAACAGAGATCCCACTAGACAAGCCCAACAGCTCACACGTATCCCTGTGGCAGGAAGTAAACGTGAGCTCCTGCAAGGTCACTGCCAAGTAACAGATTTTTCCACTCCGTGGAAATGGATGAGACAGAATCAAGTCTTGGTCTGCTGCATTACACTGTGCAGAACTTAAAGTTGGCAGCAAGGATTATCTGAAGAAGTATGTGATAAAATCCACCACACAGAGCATGAAACTAATGAAATGAGTTGTACCCAAAGGTAGGGCCAGCTCAGAAGAATGAAACTGCTCAACTTTAAAAGAGCATCAGTAAAAAGATGAAAACAAGATCATCTCCTCAGTTAAATTAAGAACTCTGCCACAGAAGTGTCTGTCAGAACTATAAACATGATGAAAAGCCCTATAAAGTGGTATAGGCTGCAGAGTAGCAACAAACAGCTTCAGCCAGCTGTTTGCTGTACACTGTGGCTGCATTTCATAGCTCCTCAAAATAATTTCAAACCAGACATGTACAGGTAGAGCTCTGGAGAGTTTTAACAACCTGAAACGGTCTACATCCATCAGTTTAGAGTATGTCTTGTTTTCCAACATTTCAGGAGCAAAAAGAATTACCATTTTTTCCTTTCTACTCCTGCGCTGCTTTCTACTAATGGCTGGGCTTCACAGCTAAAGTAGATCTATAAATAGCACGTTTTGAGCAGCGCTGATCAAACAGCACTTAAGAACAGAGTCATCACTCCACAAGCATGGGCTCATCAATATCCAAACCTTTTCATTTAGTGGCTGTTTATAACAAGCATAATAGCAGCACCTTCCATCACCACTGTTAGCAAAGACTACTGCTTTTTCCAGAAGAAATCCTGACTTCCTGAAGTTTGTCAGTGTTTGTTTTTGGCACACAGCTAAATCTAGGAACATGTAGCTTCATATATTGGCTGTATTCTGGAAGAGCTTGGTTCCTATGTTCCAGAGCAACAGATAAAAAAAACAGGGGGGTGGTGTAATAACCCCCAAACACACATTCAAGGTGTATATGGTTTCGTTTCCAAAGGATTGGCATAGATAGATTTGTTTACAGCTTGACTCCTGCCATTCTTTACTCAAACAAAATTCTTAATGCTGTGAACATTCATTATAGCCCAAGTAACAAGAGTACTCAAAAGCTTTACTGAATTGAGGTTAAAACAATTCCAATTTGCTGAAATTGTTCATTGACTGTTGTCCTACCCTTCATTCATTCATTGAAAAAGACAGACAAGACAGTAGAAATCTTTTGGAAATAGAAGTGGCCATAAGGAGGACACAGCATATTTCTTTAAAGCTGAAGTATTTTTTATTTCAAACAACGTAAGTGAGCTTAAGCAGGAATCTGATTTGTAGAAATGAATTTCTGACTTACAATTTGAACAACTACGAACACCATAAACAATCTAATGTGTATCTCTAGCCTTGCTTTTAATAAGCAAGCAATAAGGAACAGCTAAATATTTTGTCACAGCTTTTTTCCACAGTGCCTACTTGCCCTAATGACTATTCTCCATAGTGGCAGAATCATATCTACTTTGGTTTTTCTCAGCAAATATGTTAGAAATGCCAGTTATCCACTACAGAGTGCAAACCTACCACAGGAAAAAGCCAAGTAACTATATCCAAGCCAGATAAAGTGTTGTACTAACTGTAGGCTTGCTTTTCTAACTGGACAGGTAAAATGCAAAAAGCCTCTTAAAATAGCTTTCCTTATGTTACATTACCTAAGGTAGCAACAGGTCTTAGCAATGCCAGTTCTACATTAAAAAGCCCAAAAGCACTTCTCAGCATAAAAACGCTATCAGGAAACAAGAAAGATCATACACTAATGCCATCCCAACCAAAACTGCATCACCACACCAGCACAGATAAACTGTGAAGTAACGTCAGTTTGAGGTGTTTAAGATCTCCATGGAGATGTTATCCCTGAGAAGCTGGAGCAATGCAGGGAGAGCAAAAAATAAATCCAGGTATCCTTCTTAGAGATTTACCAAAACCTTCTCCTGATCTAGAGCATGATTTTCAATATAAGATACCACAATAAAACTGTCCTCTGAGGGTTGGATTTTTTTTAATTAAAGTTTCCTAGGAGATACAGAAGAGTGGAGTGGGAACAGTTCACCTGCAACTTTTCTCCACTTTGCTTAATCACTAACAAAAGATCTTTCTTCCAAGCTATTTTCCTTGGGTTTTTATTTTATTTTTTTATTTAATAGAGGATTTGTACCTGTGATCCTACCCTGAGGATCACATTCCTACATGGGTACAGGATTAAGAGGGGTTTGGGAGAGGGAGGATGTGCTCCCACATAAAAAAATGTTTTCTTTCATAGGGCTCAGTTGCAGACTGTCAAGTTTGAAATGGATTATTTTAACACCAGTGGGATTTTACTGTCTTTTTGATTTACATAGGTACCCAGTGCCTGGGACAGCATGGTCCGTCATCTAAAACAAAACAGACAACTATCAAGACCAAGATTTGAGATAGTCCCAAGGTCTCTCAGGTTCCTTCCCCCCCCATATCTGGGATAGATATCCCTGCCAACTGCCCATGATATCTTTCAAGGAAAGCAGGGTAGAGAAGCTACAAGTTTCTAAAGCAGAA